CTTGACCTTTCTGTGAGGCCGGCTTTTGGCACTTTGTTGTTGACATACTCGACAATCTCTTCGAAAGGGCACATGACCATTCTGCACATGTTGATCCCAGCTAAGGGCCTTCACTTTCACTTCAGGTTCTTGTTCTTCTTGAAGGGCGGTGGCACATGCTGAGGCGATGGCATCACAAAGACCAGGGACCCAACGTGCCAGTGCCGACGAATCAATTCTCTTTCCATCACCTCTTCCTTTGGCCCCAGGGTTTCTTTCCTTTGGTAAGCGGAGCTTCATGTTGGTGCCCAATCCCGTAGGCTTGACAGGCGCCCCTTCCTTCCATGGAGTGAAATCCCCTTGGTTGACCGTGAGGAGGTTCAGATTGGCCGTGGCCTTCAAAGCTTCCCATCCCTTCGTCCTCCAAAACGAGACACAGTCCGGCATATAGTCGACCGGGTCACCTGGTTGCTCCAAGAGGAACAAGGGTCTTTCGGGCTTCAACTTTTCTTCCTTCTCCCCCCTTCCTGTTTCTTTGGCCCTCTTCACGAAGTCCGCAACCAGGTAGAGGAAGATTTGTCTCCACATCAGGATGTCATCGTCCTGACACAACTTCTTTTGCGCTTCAGTAAGGTCAGGCAGACCCCATTCATGTTCCCATGACCGTAGTGGAGGTGGTCCCGGGTAGTGTCGAAGCACTGACCTCGAGCGACAGTTCGGACCTCCAATCACTCCCAACAAGGCACCATCCAGGGCTATCCTCAGCAATGCCTTGTAGGCCGACGAGCCTTGCGAGGCCATGTCATGGTTTTGGCCTCTTTTGATATCAACTTCTAGGACCTGACCCTTCATTCCTTGCAGGGTGTAGCCTTCTTTTTCACCCCCATAGAGATGTAGGATCAGACCTCCTTTTTTCTTGAACCTTTTCCGTTGATGCCGATTTGTTGGGAGGTGTGACCATTCACCTGGTTCTTGAAGCAGAGCCGACTTGACATACTCCGGAAGGTCCCTCAATGCCGGGTGAGAGTCAACCATAGCCAGCTGAGGTCTCGGGCTTCAAAGTTCTCGAACTGTGCCTTGGCGAGGTGGATTCGGCTTTGGTGGTCTTCGTACTCTTTGATGAGGTCCATTGCCAGAGCCTTGGAGACTTGGGGGCACCCTGCAATCACCTGGATAGGTAACTCTCCACGAGAAGGATGTTGTACCCGCATAGCCCCACCTTTCCAAAGGATCTTGCAGCCTTGCTGCACCAACATGCCCAAAGGCACGATAGGCTCAACCATCAAATTGGTGGACACCATCACCCCATTTTCTGTCATCAGCGGGCGGTGTTTTGGCCATCTGCCAGAGCAACACTAACCTTCTTGAGGCCCTCAATGCTATCCGAAGCCACCAGAGGTCGAAGAGGGTGTGTAGCACCTGGGTCCAAGAGGCCATAGGATTCTTCTTCGATTGCGGAGCACTTCGCCTCTCTCACACGAGTGAGCTTCAGCGTTTTGATGCTGCGCTTGATCTCATCAAGTTGCTGGTGGAGCTTGTTCATCTTGGCTTCGGATGTTTCCTTTTCTTTCTTCATCCTCAGCATCTTGTTCGCCTCCAACAACAATTCATCCATCTTTTCATCTTCCGTCGTTTGACCTCCTCCTGCTGTTGTCTTCTCTGCCTCCTCAATTCCATTCTTTCCTTTCTCATCTTCCTTCTCCTTTTTCACCTTTGGTGGAGAGTTCGATGGATTGGACGACGAGGGCTCACGTGACGGACAGGCCGGAGCGAGGTGATTCTTGGCTCCACATACATAGCACCGCTTGTGTTCATCCTTTTGGTCATGAGACCACTTGGAATGCTTTCCTTTGCGGCAGCCATTGTCGGTGAGGAAGAACTTGCATGGAGGCAAAGAGCTTTCATTGTTGATCACCCCAACATTCTTTACCTTTCCTTCAAGCTCTTTTCCTTTCTCCTTCTCAACTTTTTTCACCTTGTTGGTCGCGGAGCCAGGGTCTTTCGAAGAGCTGTTCCTCTTCTCCATCATGGCCAACTGGTCGACCTCCGCGATCAAGTGAGTTGCGAACTGTGTGACTGACAAGGCCGTGGGGTTGGTGCCAACCTGAAGGGCATTGCGAGCTAAGGAAACCCGAAAACGCAGAGCTTCATTCCCCTCCAAGGTCTTCTTCGTGAGCCGGTTAAGGCCCTTGACCAAGATCGAAGGGTCCGGTTCTGTAGCACCGATTTCTTGGGCGCGAGCTCGCCACCTCAACCACTTCCTCAAACCAACAACAGTATCATGTAGACCTGAAGGTTCTGCAGGCTCCTCCAGGTTGCGAAGCAACCTTTGCTTCTCACTCACACCACCTGGACAGTAGGCCACATGCAAGTGGGCCAGGTTGGCGAACACCGAAAGCCGCTTCATGGCAACCAGCTCATCACGCTGAGCTTCAGGGATGGCCTTCAACAAGAGAGTGGCCATTCTTCTTTCAAGCTTGGCCCATTTGGCCACATTCAACGAGGCAGGGGCGACAGGTTCGTGGCGAACTCGATCCAGTGGCGCCATCGCCTGATGTGCCTGATACCAGGCTTCCACCTCCCTCAAAGTCTGCTCCCACCACTGGTCCGAGGTGGCGGTCAAATCAGCCACAACCGGCTGAACCAGCAGCAGCCAATCACCCAGCTGCAGCTGCGAAGTGTTTCCTTGAAGTGAACCCAAGGTGGGCAATTCGGCCAGCTGCCGTACCACCTCCACACCCTTGATGGTGCCCTGTGCTTCATGACCTTCTGAGATCTGTCTTTGAAGGGCCTTCATACTTTCCACCAAAAGGGTCATCACTTCCATTTGTTGAACTTCAGTGGATGCCTTTCCTCCCCCGGACATAGACTTCCCCATAGCCGAAATTCCAGCACCTCCCAAAGCCCCTTTGAACGTAGGACTTGTACTTCTTCTTGTTTCTTTGGACCGAGACCTTGAACCCTTCCCTCCATAGGTGGGCTGCCTGTAGGACCAGGGTGTACGACCACGATCATCCTTACCTTCATGGGCTTGCTTAGGCATGGTCGGTCCTTCATCAGGGGTGTTGTATGCCGAGGTTGGTCTTGTAGGCTTCGCTTCTTCTTCAACCTTCGCTCTTTGGGCGGCTTCTTCATGGATCCGCTTCTCATAGAGCTCCTGGCGAAGCTGATCGTTTTCTTCCTGCTTCGAGCGGCAGAGTTCAGAGAGGGCCCTTACCTCTTGAGAGATTTGCCACCTCCACAAAATTTCTTCTTCTTTTTCTTCACGAAGACGATCTTGTTCGTCCAGGTCAAAACGTTCGGGGGGCTTAGATCGATGACTTCCCATCTTGACCCTTTCACCCTCTTCTTCTTCGCTTGACCTTCCTTCTCCCCTTCTTCGGTCCTTCCCCTTTCCAAACCTTCTCTCTTCGTCCTTGAGGAACTCCGGCCTTCTCATCGGATCTTCAGAACCTGAGGTTCCTGACGAAGTTGGAGGAACGAGGGCACCGAAAAGCTGAGGAGCCTTTCTGGCGGCATTTCTTGATGCCTTCAGCTGTTCCTGCGAAAACAGCGGCTGGCCTTCAAAGGGCTGAGACAGTGGGACCAGAGCCATAGGTCGTCCCCTAGGAGCTTCAAGTTCACCCACCATTTGACCTTCTTTTGAACCTCCACTTTTGGATGCTTCCGGCTCCGTTGGGAGTGTCGCCGGTCCCGAATCCAAATTCCCCGTGGTGGTTCGAGCAGGGGTGCTCAACATCTTTTTTCCCTCCTCTTCTTTACCATCTTTCTCTTTTTCCACCTCTTCCACCACAGCCAGCTCTTGTCCTGCGGGAGGATGATCACCAGGCTCCACCGGAGGCAATGCCAGCTGCTCTGGCTCCAGGTCACCATTCGCCATTCGTCGACGGCGCATCATGGGAGCTGGGGGTGGTTTTTGGAAAAAGCTATCATGCGTTGGGCTCATAACCTGTTGATAGGAGGGCATGGTCCTCACCCCAAACACTCCCAACACAAAAGCTCTCTTCCAACCCAAACTCAACAAGAAAACGCTCTGTTTTTCTGCGTCTTCTCAAGGCCTTCACGGGCCGATAGGGCTTCTTGGCCCCACTTGACATGTAAAAAGGGCTTCAAGATCGAACATGATCAAGCCATGCAAAACGCTCATGAGAGTGCATCAACAATTTCAACATCCAAGTGCAAGTGTGGCCTCCCAACTGGCACAGCAACAGTACCTGCCAAGAATGGATCCTTCATTGAACTCAAGGAATGCGTATATAATTCTTTGTAGAACTTTCTACGGCCATCATGGTTGTGATGATACCTTTACTGTAGCTGAATTAGGCCTGAAATTTATACATGATGATACGTGTAATACATGACCAAACCCAATCATACTTGCAGAAGATCTGAATCCCAGGAGTCCAAGAGCTGACCAAGTTTCCACTACACACGTTTACGCCCCATGGCACGGCTCCAAGCGAGAAAAGTCACATCATCTAGGAAGTCACATCAGGGCAAAGGAAGGCACAGCGTGTTCTAGCAGTATGACAGAATCATCATCAATGTCAGCGAAGCAACGCTCTCGCTCACCGATGAAATCAAACACTTGTGCACCAATACGGGCACTCAACCCATCCTAATCCCAATGGCACACTGTTGGGGAAGAAGTTTCAACAACGTTGCATCCTGGTAAGAGATCCAAGTGGCACAGCATCACCGCTGCATGACGTCACAGCATCATCACTGCATGACGTCGTTCATCGGACCCACATCCAAGGTGAAGGAAGCCACACACACAGCCAAAGCTTGTTCTGTGCCCAGCGCCAAACTGCTGACAGTGGAAAGAAATGAGAAATAATGCAATGTTGATAGTCGTTGTCAAAATTCAACTTCTGTTCTTGACCCAGTTCTGCTGCAAAGCATGCCCATGGCAAAAACAAAAAATCGGCTATAGCAACTGCTGCAGCAACAGCAACTGCTACAGCAGTTAAATTCCCAAACCCCAAATGAACACCAATTGGCGAGCCTCAAAGCAGTTGTCAGGCCTAAGAATGCCACTGCACATGTCAAAGCAAACAAACTTGTTTGCTCCCTTTGTCTGTAGTATGCAGTAATTTTTGACAGCGACTGGGGGACACATCACAAAGACTGGGAATGCAGCGGCGCGGATGCTTCCAGTGCTACCTTGGGCGTGATGACAGCTATACTGGCTATACTCCAAGGCCGGCCATAACAATGGAACGTCTAATTATAGAACCCCTCCAAATTGCACAATACACATGTAATCATCCTTACCTGCATCAAGTCATGTTCCATTACAATATATTACAATCAAACATCCTTGCGCAAAAAGTGAGTTGGATTCAGCCACCATCATGTGGGCAAAAGACGAAACGGTGTAGCTCACATGGGAGACGGTTCGTCAACGTCCCCCTGCAAGGTTCGGGAAGTAGACGGGTCACCGGTCTCGGCACCGTGGCCGCATCGTCGACGCGCTCACGTCGGTCGGGTCACCTCTTCGACAGGTCTCAGGTCGAGATCTGGCCCGTGTTCCTTGGTTTCCCATGTTCGAGAAGCAAAAAGCTGCTTGACACTTAGTTGAAAAAGAAGGAATCAACATGTTGAACCAAAGGAACCAAAAAGGATCCCACTATGTTGAACACTAGTGAAAATGCCATTCCTTTGCTCTTCAAAAGTTGAATGAAACATAATGAAACAATGTTTTCGTAGAAACACATGTGCAAAGCAGTGGGACACAATGAATTCAATCAACACAATGTGTCCAGCAAATTAGTGCACTTCGGAATCAATTCGTGCACATCAACAGCCCAGGCCATCCAACAGCTCCCCCTGCCACTCGGGTGTCCCAGCCCCCTGCCACCCCATTCGGTGACTGGGCCGCCCTGCTGGGCCAGGTGGTTGGTGGAGACCGCAAGGGATGCTGATACTCCTGGAGCCACACACGATTCGGCCGTTGGCAACGCCGTTGGCGCCACAGGCAGAAAAAGAACAACATGAGCAGTGTAGCAAAGACACAATCATAGCATCCATAGGCCGCTGCATCGGAACATTGCAGCATCATAAAGTTCATATTTATATATATAATACACTATAATGAGGTGGAATTCAGCGTGCTAGGCGCTGAGTCTACGGACACTTCGCGCTACATGAAATGAAATGAACACATTTACACTATAATACCTCAAAATGATGCGAAGGCCGGAGTTCAGTGAGTTCGAGTGCATTGGGACAAACACCGTGTCCTTGCAAAGCACCTTCTGGGCAATGCCAGCAGCTGCCCTTTCAGTTTTGGTCTCCTTGTCAGCTTCTGAAAACACCGCCTCAACCTGGTGTGCCAGTGTAGCATATGGAAAAAAGGTCTGCTAAGAGCATCTAAGAGCGACACCTGCCAACTCATGGACTCCATTGTCGTCCGGAACACGTGGATGACTCTCGCACGTCGGAAAGCGCGTGGAAGACTGCTGGGCCGGTCCTTTGGCTTGAAGGAGCGCAAGGCCTAGCGCGAGGCCGCACGCGAGGTGCGTGGGGGTAGCACAGGCCATATGCACCGAGGCTTTTCGGCCACCCCCCAGGCCCCCCAGGAAGGTGTTCCTGGGACTTTTGTCGGAGTTGCTGGATCCAGCTATACTTGCTACCTTGTCGCTTTCCCCTTCTCACCGGGTCTCCCGGTCTCAGCCACCGGGCCGTTGCACTGCGTGGTCGGACCTCGCGTCGGACGCAACCGCCGGGTCGGTGCTTCTCTTGGTTTTCAGTGAGATGAACAGCAAAACCAACGTACCATAATAAGCAACCGCAAGATGCGTCACGATGTCTGACATCCACATCCCAGTTCGGACCTCGGAGCTCAGTGGCCCGAAGAAAGCTTTTAGTTTTCGTGGAGCAATAATGGGTTACTCACCCTGGTCGGTGAGTGTGCGTGCCTTTACTGGGTGGGGTCTCCGCCTTGGACAAAGTTTCGCCTTGTTCGGTTTCGCCCACCAACTTGCCACTGACGTTGGAAAGAGAAGATGGACAAAAAGAACCCTTCTCCCAAAACAAATCTCGGGGAGGCTGCTTATGCTGAACCCAGCCAAGATGCAGCTCTGGCAAGCTCTCGTCTCTGGCGAGCTGCTAAAACCTTGCCATGGCATTCAAAGAGATCTGTTGGTATCAGGACCATCTACCAGCTCAGTACACTAGCCGTCTCAACTGTGAACTTCAGCCACTTTCTTGACAGATCTGAAGCGACCCCTAAACACTTCATCTTGGACCAAAGCGAGATCTCCGGCTCAAAAAAGTAATTCCCATTGCGCACTCTCGTTTTCTTCCAGGGCAAAACTCCAATTCTGCAGTCACTGAGTCTACTGTACTGTAGTGTGGGTGTGACTCAAATATGGGCGAACACTTGGATATGATCAACATTGGTCATCCGTTGGACCCCTTTCTGAGCCATACCCTTTTAGACTTTCGCTGCGTGCATTAAGCAAAAAGAGCCTCAGTGCTCCGGATGCGTTCGGCGCGTTCCGAACGTGTCCAGCGAGCAGTCCAACGCTTCATGCTCGCCAGCGCTTGCGCCTTGGCCGCCGACACCGGTGCCTTAGGAGGATCAGCATCAAAGCGCAGGTCCTCGTGATGAGCTCCAGCTGAAATCCTAGTGTGGCACACAAAGAAGCAAAGTAGCTTGGATGTCTGGAGTGGAACATTTGGCATCCTTCTCTATTCAATGTAACAAACTGTTCCCGAAACTCAAACCATTGTTCTCTTGTAGGGCTTTCCCGTGCTTTCCCCTAAGCCAAAACACACACACACTCACAAAGGAACCCCGCAAAAGGGTCCATGAATCGCAACCCAGAGTCAAATGTTGAACAATGTCAAGTCCCTCTGAGAGCTTCTCAGCCTTGGGAGCCCCCACACGCCACGGATCTTTCTCTCCATTGGTGAAAAGCAGTTGGCCCACTTGCAAGTTGCTCCCGCCAAAGCTCAACGGAAGCCAAAAGGTCCGAGGAGCAAAGCCATATCGTGTTTCGCAACTCTCAGCCACCTCTAGAAGCTGATCATCGGATGCGGGATAGAAACCCATGCCGTCACTGGTCAAAGACTGCATGGGCATCTCATTGCAGGCTTGGTACTGCCAGTGTCCCATATCTGGTGGCTTCACAGGGCCCTCTAAGTCTCCCTGAGTGGGACGCCCAACCATTTCGGCCATAAAATCATAGCAGCGATAACCGTGAGAGGTATTGAGGAAAAGGTCCAGGAGACTGCGCAAGCCTGACAAGGCATCGGGGCTTTGCCCCAAGCCCTCACAAGCGACTTTCACCGGGTTGGCTGGTAGCGGGGTCAAGAAGTTGGTGGCTACAGGATAGTCCAACATGGCCAGCGTGGAGGCAACACCACGAATGAAGAAGTCCACTTTGCTGCCAGCTGAAGTTTCATTGTGCAAAGGCTGACAAGATCCTAAAGCCTTAGAGATTTCTTCTCGGCCTTCACAGCTTTGCGTTTTCTCTTGCAGCTTTTCCATGGCTGTCTTCAACTCACTTGGGCATGTGGCGCTCCCAAACTTGCTGAAGCTGTGCATCGTTGCCTCCCAGAAGGCTCTTTGCCGCCCGTCGCGAGGATAGAAGTCGATGGGTGCCGAAGAGGCAATGCCACCCGCTGTGAGGTGTGGATACTTCTGCCGGAACCAAGCGACCAGCATCCCACCATAGCTACCACCCAAGGTGATGACAGCACACCTGAAGCCAGTCCAGGACTTGAAATACAATTATATATTGCAAACTGGCAGCCCAAAACCAACGGTGTCACTCCTGTGACCTCCAACCGACGATGCACCGATCGTTCAAAGCGCAGCTTTTCCGCTCATGGCCTCGTCGATGCGCCCCGGGACCTTCCAGGTCCAAAGCATGCTACTGGCCTAAGCCAAAGGACATCGGCATTCGAGCGTCCAGGTCAACCTGTCGAGAACTGCACAGGTTAAAATTCTTTCTTGGCCTGAGACGCTCGAGACGCACGGTATCCGTCCGCTCTGACTTTCGGCCTTGCTTCATGGACAGGCTCTTCGAATGACCACTGATCCATGGGTTCTTCCATGAGATCCGTCAATTCGGAAAGGGTCAAAACCTGATCCGTGGAAGCATTAAATTCCTGCAACATAAAATACAAGAACTTGTTGCGCCATGCCGGAAAATTGTGCAGGCGTCGGGCGCCTTCGTTGCACAAATCGGCCACAGCTGCTTCAAAAGCCTCGTCGTTTGGAACCAAGGTCACTTGCTTGATCTCTTCAGTCTTCACGCCTGGCTCACTCTTGACATGTTCAGCCTGGCTTTCCAAAAACTTCGAGGTGGATCCGCTATCCAAGCTCTCCTTGATTGCAGCGGCCCATTGATTGCAGCCTTCTGGAAGGGGGAGCACCTCCCCACTGCGCAACACTGTCTTGTACACTTCCAAGACACTCTTCAATGTCTCTTCGGCCTTGTCCAGCATGGTGGCACTGCCCTGAACCTGAATCATCTTCGTGCTCTTCGTGTACGTGAAGGTCAGGGTCGTATCCTCACCACCAAAGATCTTGCTGTTGACTTCTTTCGCTGGAATTCGGGATTTGCACATCGAACGTGTTTGCTGCAGGTTCTTGCTGTAAGCATCTCCATCAATCACTACACTACTTACCATGCATTCAAACAACGAACGGATTTCGTCTTCCGAAATCTTCTCAACGGCCACTTTGACCATCTGTTCTATGGGGCTTGACCGCACAAAATGTGCGGCAGACTCGGCCTTGGTGGAATCGATCGTTCCGGCTTGAGCATCAACCTCCAGAGCAGTCTTTCTACTCAAACGAACTTGCCTTTGTCTGGCAGCTGCTTCCATCATTGTGCTTTCCTTATTTAAATGATATTTATTGGTCGTCATGGCGGCTCTTAAAAGATCCATGGCTTCAGGTGATTCCTTAGTGAGTGCATCAGCTAGTTGCAGCCATGTCGGTGCCCATCGAATCACACCGCCAATTCGCGCCAATGTTTCACGCACGATGACCAGGTCTATTGCGACACGTTTGTCACCGACGCTACCTGGAGAAGCATAGTTCTGGAGATGGTCGTAGATGCTCTTACAGTCGACGATTGCTTGAAGCTTGAATTCACTCAAAAAGCTTTGCCGTTTGGCAAGTGAGAAATCGACATGTTTTGCTTCTGACAAATGACATGCCAACCATTCCGCATGGCCTAACCCATCTGAGAGCACCTGCGATTCCCCTGCAAAAGTCGAACCCACTACCCGCTTAAGTCGGTATGACTTCCACACGCACGGACTCCATTGGGCGGGTTTTCCCGCCTGAAGCAAGTCATCTGTTACCCCTACCAGATACCCTGCCTGGGTGCCTTGCCGTTTAGCATTAGCGAAAGCTGCGTCTGTATGCAAACACAAACGAATCTCTGACATGGGGATTGGCAAAATCTTCCAAGACATCGTCTTATATTGTTTTGCACGTCTCACCACGTTTCCTATCGTCCGTGCTTCACCGAGTGTGGGCTTTGGCAGCAGCTGCTGACCCTGGCTGACTTGTACGGCCAAGTCTGGCCGTGTCTCCTTCGCCAGCCATAACGCGCCTCCGAGCACTGATTTCAAGGACGAAGCCTCACTTGCAGTCACTTCAACCAAGGGTGATTCTCTGTTTCTCAGTTTTGGTTTCTCAAGCTTGTCTGCAAATGATTCCTGGCTTACAGTGATGGCTCCGGTGTTCGGGCACTGGGACAGCTCAGATCCGCAAAAACTGCCGTTTCCAATCTTCCACTTTCGAAAAGGGAACGTGTTGCGAAGCTGCTGCACGGATTGATCGAAAATGGGTCCTCGACCACCTAGCAGCACGTCATCTACATGCACTCCTAGCACCCCTTGCAACTCTTTGCCATGCCACAAAAAGTAAATGCAATGATCCAGTTTGGATTGCACCCATCCGAGATTCTTGATCGTTCCATCAAACTTTTGGAACCACTTCTGGGGAGAGTCATTGAGTCCATAGATGGGGCGAACAACCTCAAACAACTGTTCAGCATCATGGTCTGGCAACGCAAAGTTCTTTGGGGGTGACATGTACAGTCGACCATTTCCATCCCCGTCTACATTAGGGGGGAGGGGTTGACAACCGCAGTTTTGTAAGGGACCTAGGGTTACAGTCTACAAAAAGCCCTGACCCAAGGGCATTGGGCTTATACAAAATGGCATGGGCCAGAGTGGGCTTGTACAAAAAGGTTATGCCTGAAGATCACTATCTTATGCTGAAAAGTGCATAAAACAGCCATGCAGCAAAGTGATTTCTCTACAAAATGGTATCAAATACCTGGTCGAGGACATGATTTAAGACTCCATTTGTTGACCATTCCGGAACCATTCTGTAGAGAAACTGTGTGCGCACGCATCTGACTGTTCTTTTTTAATCCAAACTTGAGCGGCGATTTGTACTGTGCAATGGCATATGTTGAACATCGGATTCTAATAGACGATGTCAGAAACTATATGATTTTTTGTTTTTGTTTAATGAACTTGCGGTGCTAACGGAAAGTATATTAAACAGTGCTTACATCTAAAAATCTTGCTTACAGTACAAAATGGGGATGACCCTGAACTATCTCTACAAAATGTGAACCTCAGGTATTTGGAGACTAATTCACATTATCCATTCTAAACTTGACCTTTGCTGTCCTGTGAAATAGTGTGAAATGCATTCAAATACCAATATGATTCTTTGTTCATGCCGACTTTGTGTGACATGCCAATATGATTCTCTGTTCATGCCCACTTTGTAAAGACAAACATTAGTGACAGTCATTGTGTAAACAAATCTTTGGTCCATCCTCATTTTATGAATCGTGGCTGAGTTTCTCAATGCTCTTTGGTCAGCGGATGGCACCACGTGTACTGGGACGAGTCCATTGGATGCAGAGTGGATTTGTTTTATGTACACCGGGTACGCCGCTGAAAAAGTTGTTAGCGCAACTCAGGGGGTAACCGGCATAGCCATAGATGGCTCAACACCACATACTGAACATTAAACATCACGAAAACTAAGGCTGCACCTTGACCAAACCAAGCGTTTTTATAGATTCTATAGATGGCGCATCCCAAAGCTCTTTTTCCCATCCTAAA